AAGAAAATTATCTTTACATTGTATCCATTCCCACCAGAACAATGAACAGAAGGTTCATTTATATTGCTATTTGGTCCAATGCCAAGTGGGCGAAATGGTTTTGACTAATTGGTCATTGAACTAAATGACTATTGGACTATTTGAGTATTGGACAAATTGGTTATTGGTTGAAATGTTGATGGACGAAATGAGTGTAGACTAAGTGATGTTTAGACCAAGTGGCAATTTACCAAGCAGTACCGTAATGTACAACTCCACTGTGCAGACAGAGTGCAGCAACCACTATAGACAGCCCAACAACTGTCGCTGGTGATGGCTTTGAATAAATACGACTGTTTCCTGGTTGCCGGGGGTAACAGGAAGCAGGGCAAGTGGGTCTGTTTCCCCCCTCGGGCTGGGTAGGAAATCCCGAATTGTCTGAGTCTTATTCTCACACAGCTGATCCGCTCATTAAGGGCAAAGACACTTGTTGCTTGCTTCCGCAGCTCCCTTGAATCATCACTTTGCAGTAACCTGTTTGTTGCAAAAGAATTTTAAGGTTCATGTACATGAATATTTATGGTAGAGCAGTGAGGTACAATGGCTTTTTTTCTTTTCTTTCTTTTTTTTTTTCTTCTTCTTTTAGTATGATGAGTTTGAAAAATGCTATCCTTTGTCTCCTCTCAAAGCAAACTTGAAATGGAATCAATCTCTCGCGAATACATCCTGTAGATTTGGCTGGAGATATTAATTTGGGGGAATTTTAACACTCACGCTGTACTGCCTCAAATGATGTTGCGACTCCAATATTGTCTACTTACGAAAGTCAGTCGGTGGATTTACATGTATCTCTCAGAGAGTAGTCTATACTTGGATAGCTATAATACAGTCATACCTGTTTATAAAGAGCAAACAAGAGAGACAAAAAAGTAGTCTTAATATGCAGGTGGTCTTTATGTACAGGTTCCTTCATTACATGTTTCAATTGGAAACCATTTTCAAGGGAAACAAACAAAATGTGGTCTTTGTAGACACGTGGTCACTCAAGCAGGTTTTACTGTATATCAGTTTCAGAATGACAAATTATGTTTCTAGAAGGATAGACACCTTGTCTAGCAATTAAAATGCAGGCGATATATATGTGCCTTTGTAACTTTTAAGGTTTGCCACAAAGTGCAGCAATTTGGGGGGTTAAAATTCAACCTCACCCATTAAAGTTAAAGACCGGTTCTGGTCATGCGATTGCATTGTGAAAGAAACGTTGTGGAATCGATCAGAAAAGGTTGATCATCTAGTATATATAAATATTGGTGTGTACTACAATGTTCTGGAATCATCAAAATGATTAGAAATTTGCCCCAGTCTTGGTAAAGTTACAAGCACTGTACACAGAAAGATGTAACGGTATATGGGACTACGCGACACGTGCGCAACACGTGCGCGATATCTATCAGGTCCAAATAGATATAATAATTTAACCCAATATATCAATTAGTAGGCGGTTTCTCTGCAAATTTGTATCATCACGTATTAGTCAAAACATATTCTTTCACATGATTGGTAATAAGAGCTTCCGTTTCATTTTTTGAGAGGAGGGTGTTTCCAAAACTGGATTTTACCCTGAAAATTCCACCTCACCCATCAAACCAAGCAGTATATGCACAGACTGTCAGCTCTCCTTATGAATGAGAGCAACATGTTTGAGGTTGAAGTTGAGGTCGTCAGGGCGTGGCCAGCCAGTCTCTCATGTTGTACTTAGTTGATCTTTTAACAAGCTCAGCCCTTCCTCTGCAGACAAGACAAAAACAATATCCAACTTCCCTTCCACCGCCATGTTTACCGACATGGGATAGCAATGTGTGTTCTTGTTTTTTAGCTTGACTTTCCCACGGACTATGATTATTTTTTTTTCCTTTTTTTTTTAAAATTAAAAAAAAAAATCTTTAAAAAATGTTTTAACCATTTATGATTATTCTGTCTGGGAATGAAAACTTCTTGAAAGTATAGTTAATAAGAATATTTACAAGAATATAAATTTGCAGTACATGTCGATTGCATTGTGTGTTGATGTTCACCCGAATGTGTTTGACCACATCATCATTTCAGTTCAATTGTGTGTGTGGGAGAGGGGGGGGGGGGTGAGCTTCAAAATCGAATTATTCAATCTACTTAGGAACCACAATATATGTATAGGCAAGCATAGACCTACTTCTGAAATTAGATAATGGGAAAGATCATATTTTCCACTTTATCTCTGAGGGAAACCATGTTGTAAGAAGAACATTATTCCCCACAAGGTGAAAATGGTGCACATATTGCTGGCAGACATGAATATGATAACCAGAGTAACAGAGTTTGTTAACCAAAGTGCTTCAGAAAAGTACTGTTAGTATTTCATCAAGTTGCCGTATATGAATTTGGTAGTCTTTAAGGCTGGTTGTAATTGCTATTGTCAATTGGTCCTGGTACTATGACAACAATAACAACAAGGAAAGAAGATTGTCTTCTTCAGGAAGCCTGCCTGATTAAGTTGACCTTGAGAATGACATTCACACAAGCATCATATATATATATATTGTTATATATATTTTATTGTCTCGCCTGCGTAGCAAAAAGCGAGACATAGGCGCCGCTTTTCCGGTGACGGCGGCGACGGCGACGGCGGCGGCGGCGTCAACATCAAAAACTTAACCTAAGGTTAAGTTTTTGAATTTTTGATATAATTTTTAAAGTATAAGTTCTTAGTCAATGAAACTTTGACTATAGGGTAATCAAGTATCCCCAATCATGTGAGTAGAATTTCAGATCACAAGGTCAAGGTCAAAGGTCATTTCAGGTCAACAGACTTGGACTATGTTGTAGCATCATCATCGAAAACTTAACCTTTCCAAAATTTTTCAACCGAATTTGATTCTGATTGTTTCATATGATAGGGCTAGAAGGGGGATTTAAAATTTCTACACAGAATCGTGAAATTCATTATCTATGCTAATTTATGCAAATTTATTCGAAATCACAAAAAAGGCTTCTTCTCCTTCATTTTTCGACCGATTTTGATTTGGTTTGCTTTATATCGTTGAGCTAACTTTGGTACACCATATTTCTACACAGAATTTTGAAGTTGTTCTCCATTAATTAATTATGGTAATTTATGCAAATTTATTCCAAAAATAACAAAAATTGCTTCTTTTCCCTCATTTCTTGACCGATTTTGATTTGGTTTGCCTTATCTGGTAGAGCTAAATTTGGAACACTAAACTACTACACATAATCGTGAGATTTTGCTCCATTGATTATTTATGGTACTTTATGCAAATGAAATGAAATTATGTCCCTTCCAGGGCATCAAATTTTTATTTTTAGACCAGTTCAAAAGTGAACCACATAAAATTTCCGATATTTGTTGTTGCGAGATGCGGATGAGCACTCCGTCATTGACGTTCTGGTTTATCATATTGAATTGCGTTATGCAGGCGAGACCGCCGAGAGCGTTTCCCTTGTTTATTTTAAAGGTAATTGAATTGGAAGAAGAAAACAATTTATTCCAACAATACAAATGATGGGCATTGTTCTAGAGAACACAAACGTACATTGAATTGGCTTAGTATCAAAGTAAAATAACCAGGACAAAGTAAAATAACCAGGACATTTTCCATCCTCACAGGTGTAAGAACTCTCCCCCCCCCTTTTTTTTTTACCCCTTTGACATGTACCGGCACTGTTAAAACTTTTAAAACCTCTTCTGTACCAAAATCAAGAATTCTTAACTTTCTTTTGATATATATATCAAGGAGTTGATTTTGAGTTTTTTATTCTCTGTTTCTTCGTTATATGATTTTTTTTTCCCTTCTCCTATGGGAACAAACTACAGCTCTTGCTTGTTTATGTTTCTAAAAAGAAAAAATGCTATTTTGAGCATCTAGACACAACATGACTAGCCTGCCCACACCATGGAAAAGTCAAAGGTTGACACTGCATACATTTATGTATGTAAAACAAGTCTCCAGAACCTTTGCTCTTATTTTTGTCTTAAAACTTGTTATCAGAGTTTACATTCAACAAGGGATTATCTGACTACTTTTGGAGTCAGAGTCAGAGTAGAGATCCCATGTCTGTGAAAGTATTATTGAATGCTTTATATCTCATGATCGGCATCTCTTATTACAGGAATTTTTAATTGCAAAGATATGATTTAAAGGTATCTGGAGGTCTTCCAACTTCCATTGATGAACTAAGAAATATCTTGATAATAACAATAGTATTATTATTTTCTTGTATAGCGCATATGGCATTGTGTGTGCATGTATGATGTCTACATGTTAATTATTACCCTGGCTATAGAGCCAGCCTAGTTATCAGCACATAGCATATTTCAAGGAAAAAAATCTTGCGAGGTACTGACATATACATGTACATGTACCTCACCTGGGTTGAGTATGGCAATTAAAGATCAATGTCTTGGCAAAGTATGTTTGTGTAGTGGCAGGGACTTGAACCCTAAATCGTAGTACTTGTGCACTAGACCATAGCACCTCAGAGAACAAATAATTCAAGTGTGATGTCATTTGTAATCATGAGAGCAGATGAGAATGGTGAGATAAATAATTCCTAGTTTCTAGTTTCTCTTTTGGATGGATCCCAAATAGGAAGGAGGGAGTTGATCGAGGGGGAATATATACAAATCGTTAGTTAACATCCCATTGGAATCACAGCCCAATAGTGTCTCCCCGCCCCTGATTTAAAGCGCCTGCTCATATGAAGAGTCTTCCTTCAGATCTTCAGGTCTGTCGAGAAATCTGTATTAAATCGTTTTCCTTGGTCAATTATCTATCACTAATTGTGTTCCTAATCCTGTCGATGGAATATGTGGTGATATCCTGAACCTCGCACAAAACTGATTGTGTTGTTTCCAAATAGGAATGAACAACTACCAGTTAACGTACATGAACATGCATGTGCCGTTAGATTTGAAATGTGATTATCGCTTCATTCCTGTTCTTATCCTTATTTTTCTCTTTCAGACTTCAGAAGTTTAAGCTGAACATTGCTAACACAGTCATCACCCAGGATAACTCCAGTCTACAGTCTATGGGAACAGAACAGCTCCTCGACCTCTTCAACTTAGATATGGTATGTTCCTTTCATTTATACATTTCCAAGCGACATGTCGAGGGGTCAGTGACACAAAGACGTAACTCCATTTTGGCCATTTTGAGCACTTGGGCCTTTAAGGAGTTAAGTCTATGTTTCACTAGCCATTGACTTCAATGCGGTGTTGGGTGGAGTTCAGTCTTTGTGCTTCCTGGAAAGCCCTCATTTTTCTGAACATATTTATATCAAATACTCATTTTGGCAAAATATGGAGCTACGTCTTTGTGTCACTGAAGCCTCAATGTGTGACTTGGCGTGTATTACGTCTGACAAATTGATAAAGAAATAGTTTTGCTCTTCAGAGAATTCTTAGAATTATGAGATACATTATATTCAAACTTTAAGACCCTAATTGGCATCATAAAAACTTGATACGTGTAGTTATTATAATTTTAAATAAAGAAATGGTTTTGCTCTCCCAAGAATTCTTAGAAATATGAGATACAGTAAATTCAAACTTTGAGATATAGTATACCCTTGTCATCATACACACTTGATACATGTAGCTATTGTTATTTTAAATAAAAAAATGGTTTTACTCTCACAAGAATTCTTAGAATTATGAGATACAGTATATTCAAAATTTAATATATGGTATACCCTTGTCATCATAAACACTTGATTCATGTAGCTATCATGATTTTATTTTACATGTAGAACATGTTGGTCTGACATCAAAAGCAAATAGACAATAGTAGAAAATAGTTTCACTTTTTCCACAATTCTCATATTTCTCAGAACTCCCAGGTGTGCACATCTTAAATAGATATGATATTCTTTCCAATTTACAACTGTGTAGCTGCATGTACTATGCTTCATACATGTAACTGGTAGGTCTGAATAAAAAGGACCACAAGTCTTCAGATTCTTTGTTTCATTTTTGCCAGAATTCTCAGAAATTCTGGATCTATTTACCTGAGCAATAGTATATATTTTTTTTCCATTTAGGTTTGAATTTAAAAAAATATTTAAAAAAAGTTTGTATGTCTTTAGAATTCTCAGACTATGACTCTAGACTAGAAGGTCCAAGTGCCGCAGAAGCTATCATAACATTTTGTTGGAAGCCTTTAATGAATGAAAAGATTAATTCATCTGTCATCATCCACTTTCAAATCGATTACAGAGCTCTCAAGCAAATTTCCTGTTACATACTCCACATTAATACTAGCGAGATAATTTTGCACATTCCCTATACAGATTATGATACCACATGTGATCACATTGAAGTTTTATTGCCTTTAAAAACTGGCTTTCATGAGTGTTTGTAAAGTGATACAAGCAATGACATTTTTTTAAATTAATGCAACCATCACCTATTAATATGCTTAGCACATAAATGTAGTTTGTGGGTTTAAATTGTTCTAGTAAGTCTGCCTGTGTCACTTTTCAAGTTTCCTGATAAAGTGTTTTCATCAGCTTCAACCTTAGATTTGCTCATGTTCTGTAGGATTTTGCATTGATATAGCTGATTGCCATTGATACAAACAATAAAAACATGTTGCAGTGCAAAAAAAGTTGAAAAGAGTCACCATTAATGAATAAATATGATACAGTGTTTGTGAATACCGGTAAGAACTAAGTGTACACTGTCTTTAAAAACTCTAAAGAATATTCAAAGTTTGTAGAAAGAACTTGATAGCTGTGACTTATTCCTTTAATTTTTAAAGGGTGAAACAGCTTTCAAGTTTTTAGATGAAGAGCTTTTTGCAGTATATTTATGCAAATGTATTATTATTTTGATATGAGGTAAATAAGAAAGCATTGAACAAAGGAAGAAGAAGAAAAAAAACTTTACATACATCATGATACAATGTACATGTATATTATACACTCAGCAAAAAATGTATCGCTGAAGAGGTTCATCTAGTTTGTGATACAATTTTTGAAATAATTCTTCTTTTGAATATTGGTGAACTTATACCCCTTTCAAACTGGCCTGACTTTCATCGGATGCATCCGGACGCATCCGATGAAACTGCCAGTATGAATGCTACAGAGGAGAAAAAGCCGATAGAATAGCTGATGAAAAGAAGAGAAATAGGCGATTAAATTCTCCTGCTCAAGAGCATGAGAAATGTTCATTCTATCGGTGTGACACCGATGAAACAGCCGCTATGAATGCATTCGGGAGAAAACAGTGATTAAAACACCGATTAAAATGGTCAAAGGTTGCAGTGTACACGCGCTTTATCGTAACCAGCTTTGTTTGTTCAATTATGGTTGAACATGCTGCATGCTAGCTAGATGGAGTGCGGGCTTAATAATTACGCAATAATTCTTCACTTCCGGCAAGGGCTCGCCACAGCGAGTGAATTTCACCGGCAGTATGAAAGCGACAGCAGGGAAAAAGGCTGTTTCACCTTTGTCTACATAAGGAAAATTTAATCGGTATTTTCATTGGTGTGAATCCGATAGAAGCCAGTTTGAAAGCAGTATAATTTGTGCTGATCACAAGCATTCTGACTTATTTTTATTGATATTATTTTGTTTCCTTGATCTCAGACAAATTGTTAGTTGCTCCTATATATGTAATATTACATGTACATCTATTTGTGGATGGCTGTCTGACTGTCTGTAAACACTTGAAAGCAAATATGGTACTCTATTTACATTTGTTTCATTGATATTGAACAAAAAAGATGAACTGTTCCTATTCACGTTAATGTAGAACAAGATATCCGTGTGACAGTGTGATATATCAAACATCTTTTTATTTATTGTTTATTTTTTTAATTCTATAGAATGGCCCTATCGGACCTGGGGAGGCAACCATTGAGGGGAATGGAAGCAAGAGTAAGCAAGGTCCAAACTCAATGAACTCCATCCTCTCCAACCTCGGTGATCTGTGGGATGAGAGCCAGTATGAGACCGAGTACAATCTTGAAGACTTCATGCAAAGCTTAACGTCAAGATGAACAGGTGGGACCAGGCTGATGTGTTGAGGACAATGCGTGGAAGCGAAGGAGTGGGACTAACTTGTGTTCTCCGCAAGTTATACATGTACATGAAAAGTGGAGTGCATGGCTGCTGCAGTTTTTGGCATGCAACAACACAGTGCAGACAGAAGAAACTAGATTTGTTTGGAAGAGCATCTGACTTTTCTTGTCAAATTAGAGAGTTTATGCAAAAGAATGAATGGATGGGACCATGGCTGAATATGTTCGAAAGTCATTTCGTAAATATGGCATGCATGGGGCTGATCTCATTTGCTTGTAGAAAATGGTGCAGAGAGGATGACACCAATTTAAGCCTTTGGGACTGAAGTGGTAAGAAGGGGTGCCTTTGAGTAAAGCGGAGACGGAGCCTTGAAGAATGTGTGTAGAGAGAGAGAGAGAGAGAGAGAGCGCAAGTGAATTGAGCCAAGGTGATACCCACAGTAAAACTGCGGGACTGAGCTAGTTTCGCATTGCTGAGTAAAACCACTTTACAATTGTTTACATTTGAAGAAAGAGGGCATGTGTAATACATGGATGAACATCCGCCTGTTGGACAGTGGCATATAAACACTTGAGAATAAACATGCTACTTCATATCAGCAGAAATGGAAGATTTACACATGTAGATCCTGCAAATGTACTTGCCAACCAAATAGATTAATTGTCAAGTGTCGGGTTTATAGTTTCAGGATAGACCAACCCTTCACTTGTAGATGATCTGGGCAGCGTTTCACAAAACCATCATAAGTACAAGTTAACCGTCATCCCATCGGAATACATGAAAGACCAGTATTGGAAACGCCCCAATTTCTAAAAATGAAATGGAAGCTCTTATTACCAATCATGTGAAAGAATATGTTTTGACTAATACATGATGATAACAATTTTGCCGGGAAACCGCCTACTAATTGATATATTTGGTAAATTAGTTTATCTACATGGTCTGTGAGGGATAAACGCATGTGTTGCGCACGTGTGCGTATAGTCCCATATTCATCTTTCTGTGTACAGTGCTTGTAACTTTACAAATACTGCGCCAAATTTCTTATCATTGTGATGATTCCAGAACCTTACAGTACACACCAATACTTATATGCTAGATGATCAACCTTTTCTGCTCGATTCCACAACGTTTCTTTCAAAATGCAATCGCATGACCATAACTGGTCTATACCTTTAAGTTTAACACCCGTTTATATGGGATGTCGGTGAACTTGTGCGTACAACCCTTTCATGCAACCTGTACTCTATCTTAGCATGTACATTAGTATAGGAGGACATGTTCTGCTTGTGTATCGTCTGTTAAGAGCCAGAAGGACGTTCACTAACAAGCTATAACTTCCTTCTTGCCCTCATCAGATAGTACAGTGAAACCTGTCCATAAAGACCACCCAAGGTAGACAAGAAAAGTGGTCTTTATAGACAGGTGGTCTTTTTGTACAGCTACCTTTTAATAGTACATGTTGCAATGAGAAACCATTTTCAAGGGAAACAAAAAATGTGGTCTTTGTAGTCAGGTGGTCTTTGTAGACAGGTGGTCTTTCTATACAGGTGGTCCCTAAAGCAGGTTTGACTATATATCATTCCATTTGAAGAACTTGCCTCTGTTCTGACCCCTGTCCTCTGTCTTAATCAGAGTTATTTTTGGTGGGGTCGATAAACTTTTGAGTATGGTATGACTCACACCTCCACCCAAGAGACAATACCTGGGGCCCGTTTCACAAAACTTGTCATCGGTAACAAGTTACAGTCTTTGTTATAAGCTACTGAAATCCTTGCTTCTGATTGGTTATCAGCAGATTTGTCACTGACTTTGGTCATTTGTCATTGAACAAGGCTTGGTGAAACGGGTCCCTGGTTAGCATATTGTAAAGAGAGCTGAGACAACCCATGCATACAGTTAACAACTAAATTATTCATATCCCTTGTAAAATGTGATGCCTTTTGTGTTGTTTGTAACTCAAGAATGGACGCTGGACTGGTTGAATTAGGGCCTTTGTTAAATAATTTTAGATGTAAGCTTTAATATTTCACATTCTCAAGAAACCTAAATTGGGAGAAATCAATTTTTCACATACCGGGTACTTATAAATTACAAAAGTTGGTAAGGATATAAATAATTTAGTTGTTGACTGCACATGTATGAATCTGTTACTGATTGTTTTTATTGAGATACTCTATTGAGAGGGCATTGTAGGATTGGAAAGATGGATTTCTCTTGGATTCATGGATACATGAAGTATAGAGTAGTATTTATTAACTCTATGGACCCTCTGTCGGGGTATGAGAGTACAAACAAAGAAAACGTATTTAAAGAATATTACACATACATTGGTTTGATGGTTTGTTTTACCCGACTGCTAAGAAAGCATGTGTAAATTGTGTATGCTTATAAGTAAGCAACCAGAGGACCAACGGCTTTAAGTCCTCTCTGAGGGACTTGGCAACGAGAATTAATGCCTTACCTAAGGGCACTAGCGCATCGACTTGGTTTGGAACCCGGGACCTTCCGGTTACGAGACCACTGCTCTTCCAATGAGCCACCGCATCTCCTCAGTGTGTACAAAGTAGTTACATATTGTATTACAAAAATTTATTTAAAAAAAACATATTTACAAGACTAGCCGTTCTGGCTTCTTGACTATTCTACCATTTCAAGTATATCCATTTCTATTTCTCTTACGTTCTATACAATGGTATTCTTCAGTCTTCTTCATTTGTTGAAGCCAAAAATAAGAAAAAACTTATCACCAAATACTACATTACAGTAGGTGTGTCAGACGAAAATGGTATCATATCAAGTATTAACTTACTTGATACTAAGGATTTATTTGTATATGAGCTGCATCAGCATCATGGATGAATTATTTTGTAATTTTGATACTCAGAAGTTGAATATTGAGATGCAATTTGTGATTTTCTAAAGGCATGAATGGAATGTGGACTTGAGAGCCGAACAAACATTTGTTGATTATTTTTTACTTGGATGGATTTATGCATTCCGTAGTAGAAATCGGTCGTCATTTTTTCTTTCCATGATTGAAATGTGTTTCTTGTCAGTTTTTTGGCAGCGACAGCAAAGAACCAATTATGGAATCAATCCTCATTAAGGAGTAGGATTAACCATAATGCTGTCCAATAAACTTAGATTTGACTATGACATTTCAGTCCACAATGTGAGGGAAATGATTACCGTAGATTTTCCTCTGTTTTTTAAGTGACTAAACTAAATGTGAATTCATCCTTCTGAAATCCCTTTATTATCTCAACAAATCTGTGTCAAAAATTGTTCAGCTGTAAATTTTTCATTCATATGCATCGATAAATATTTATATCTGATGCTTTATATGTGCAATTGATATCTAAACCAAAAGGTGAAGTGTACAATTTCTGTTTTTTCTCCATTGTTAACTTTACATAGCATTATTGGCGCTACATGAACAAAGTAATCTTTGAAACCTGACAAGCATTTCGTCTGCTTGTTCATTCTTATTTTTGTTGGCAAATCCTTGACACTTATAAATTTGTCTTGTTGAACACACACCTTAGTCTAATTATTATATTAAATATCTTTATATTTTGATGTATCTTCCTTATCTTGATACTTCATTGGGGATTTCTATGGCTTATCATTGAATGGGATGCCTCAGAACGTCTTATTCAATTGCTGCCTCTGAAAAGTCCAAGTGACCCTGATATACTGATGCATGTAGCACCAGAGATTCAGTTCAGCGCCAGTTCAGAAGTGCTGGATTACAGTTCATTGGGTCATGAATTGGAATATTTATTTGCATACAGGTTTGAATGTAGGTGTTCATATTGATACCTCGTTAAGTAGAGATGGAAAAAGGTATGCATAGACAAAACAATGAAGCATTTAGCCATTTGCATGTACATACAGACTATCCAACTTGCATACTAGTAGTCGGTGATCTCACAACCTCATCAGAGATAACAAAAAAGGGGTATTAAACTTCATAACTGTTCAATTATTTATTATCAGTATTTGATGGATTCGCAGTATGATATATATTCTCTTTGCTATGAAAAATACAGTATACATTTACTTGTTTATGTGCGTGGCACAACGATTATGATATGCAGAAGAAGACTTGGTTCTCAGGAATAATTTGATTACATCACATGCTGAGCATGTTTGGTTTACAATTGTGAAATAAAAAAATGTGTTTAAAATGTACACTTTTATACAAATGCCAATGGTCAATGTGTTAAAATGAATTTATACTTGTAAAATACACAGTAATTTGTTCGAAAGATATTTATATGGAAAAAATGGAAAAACTATTTGCCTTTTTGTTCTTCCTCTGTTTTCTCCTTTTCAGTATGTCTAAAAATTACTTTCAATTTCGTTTTGTTTCCTTCCAATACGTGAAGCTCTGGGTTATTTTTGTATGGTTATATGAGTAAAGCAGATATGACAATTTACATATTGTGTACCTAAAATTGTTTTATACAATATACATGCTATAATCACACAGTTTTACATATTGCTACTACTATTTCTATAACAGTTTGTAGATCTATGAAAGTATTCATTTTGGTATAACATCGAAGAAGCTTAAGTTTTCATTTCATTTTTTGGCTAAGCAAGGTATTTTTTGAGAATTGAATCTGTTTGGAATTGTATACTTTTTCTTGACAATGCCAGCATCAAAGGAAGCATACTTAAAGGGGACATCCACCCTGTTGTTAAGTTGGTTTTAATAGAAGAAACAGGTCAGTGAAAGTTTGAGCAAAAACAGATTAAAAATAAGAAAGTTTATAGAAGAAAGGTGTACAGATCAATTCTTCTTTGGTCGTGACACAACCAATGTCCAGTGCAGGAAGCATAATCTAGCCTTGAAGTTAAAGATAAAGTTGAGTTCAGGTCATGCAATTTCATCGTGAAAGCAACTATCTGGAAAAAAATGTTCATCATGTAGCACATAAGTATTGGTGTATGAAATGAGGTTTGGGAATCATCAAAATGATAAGAAACTTGCCTGGTATTGCTAAAAATTCACATGGACCATACACCTAAATGTGTCTATAGAACTACACACACATATAGCATGAGGTTGTGATCTTCAAACTCAAACTGTTACTTGTTGTATTTCGAATATGAAGGCATTTGAACAGCCATCCTTTTTAGGAGACAGTTTTTCTATTATATTCTTCCACACTACTATGAAAAGAATGAAAGAGCTCACATATTATTCTTCACCTTTCCCAGAACTCAACCTTCTCTTTAAATCCTCTTAGATCTTCAAGGCTTGTGGTAGACAGTTGGACAGACCAATTACAATGTTCCATTACTTATTCCTCCCCAGACATGTGTCTATCATGATATGATGTCAACCTAGGCTTTATCTGTGCTAA